GGGGGACAGGGCGTGGTCAGGGCTGGGGACATGGCCATGGCCATGGGGGGGGACAATGCAATGACCATGGGGGGGACAACCCAATGGTCATTGGTGGGGGCAACCCAATGGTCATGGGTGGGGACAACCATGGATAAGGATGTCCCAATGGCAATGGATGGGGACATCCCTGTGGTCATTGTTGGGGACAACCCAGTGATCGTGGGGGGACGTCCCAGTGTCCATGAGCAAGGACATCACTGTGGCCATGCTGGGGTCACACGGTGTGGACACGTCTGACGCGCTGGGGTGGCCGCACTGACCAGGAGGGTCCCAGTGCTGTGGGGACACCCCGAGTGAGCCGTGTCCCCCTGTCCCTGGCAGTGGTGGAGTGGATCCCCACGCCCTACCGCGCCATCACCGTGGCCATCACCGGCTTCGCCTACACCCTGGGCCAGATCATCCTGGCCGGGGTGGCCTATGCCGTCCCACACTGGCGCTGGCTCCAGCTCTCCGTGTCCCTGCCCTTCTTCGTCTTCCTCTTCTACTCCTGGTAGGACGTTGGGCCCCGTGGGGAGGCCGTGGGGATGGTGGGGTGCTGGCTGTGCCTCAGTTTCCCCTCGCTGGCTGCAGGTGGTTGGCGGAGTCGGCGCGGTGGTTGGTGCTCTCGGGCAAGGCTGACCGGGCGGTGAAGGTCCTGCAGCGCGTGGCCACCTTCAACAACCGCAAGGAGGAGGGGGAGAAGATCACGGTCGAGGTCTGGTGGCCCCACGTTGGGGGTGGGGGGTGGTTTCCAGCCCCCCTCCCAACCTCTCCCGTTTCCCCTCTCCCAGATGTTGAAGTCCAACATGAAGGAGGAGTTGGCAGCTCTGAAATCCTCCTACACCGTCTCCGACCTGGTCCGGACCCCCGTGATCCGCCACATCTTCTTCTGCCTCTCCATCGTCTGGTGGGGCTGGGGGCAAGGAGAGAGGGCTGGATGGATGATGGATGGATGGATGGATGGATGGCTGGATGTATGGATGGATGGTGGTTGGATGTATGGATGGATGGATGGATGGATGGATGGATGGATGGATGATGGATGGACGGACACATGTCTGGTCAGGATCACAGATGCTTGAAAGGAAGGATGGACACCTGGACACTCAACCAGTGACCCCATCCATCCAACTGCCTCCCAACTCTCTCCTCCCCCACCTGCCATCCTTGTCCCATCCTGCCCCAAGAAGGTGATGTCACCTCAAGGTCTCCCCTCTCCCACCAGGTTCTCCATCAGTTTCTCCTACTACGGCTTGGCCATGGACCTGCAGAACTTCGGGGTCAGCATTTACCTCATCCAGGTGATTTTCGGCGCCGTTGACTTCCCGGCCAAGGTGGTGGTGACCGTGTCCCTGAGCTACGTCGGCCGGCGGCTCTCGCTCACGGTGGCCCTGTTCTTGGCGGGGCTGGTCGTCGTGGCCAACATCTTTGTGCCCACAGGTGGGTGTGGAGGGGAGTCTCCATCACTCTGGCCACCAGTGTCCCCAGCTCGTCTTGCGTCTTTCTCCACGTTTCCATCCCTACATCCAACCACTGACCCTCCATCCTCCCTCCCTGCCCCATCCCCACCTGCCTGAAGTGTCCCCACGTGGTGGTCAAGCCCTGTTGTCCCCATGTCCCCCCACCCTGTGTCCAAGCCCCGGTGTCCCCGTGTCCCCGCAGAGCTGCAGACGGTGCGCACGGCGCTGGCCGTCATCGGCAAGGGCTGCCTGTCCGCCTCCTTCAACTGCGTCTTCCTCTACACCACCGAGCTCTACCCCACCCCCATCAGGTACTGCCCCGGCCCCGTGTCCCCACGGTGGGACAGGTCCCTGTCACCCCTCCCCAGACACCCCCAGGGCGCTCCGTGCCCCCCGTGACCCTCCCGGCTTCGCAGGCAGACGGGGCTGGGCTTCGGCAGCACCATGGCGCGTGTGGGCGGCATCGTGGCGCCGCTGGTGAAGATGATGGACGAGTACTACCCCTTCCTGCCCCCCGCCGTCTACGGGGTGGCCCCTGTGGTGGCAGCCGTGGCGGCCGCGTTCCTGCCCGAGACCCTCAACACGCCCCTGCCCGACACCATCGAGGAGGTGGAGAACAGGTGAATACAGGAATGGATGGATGGATGGATGGATGATGGATGGATGGATGGATGGATGGATGATGGATGGATGATGGATGGATGGATGGATGATGGATGGATGGATGGATGATGGATGGATGATGGATGGATGGATGGATGGATGGATGGATGATGGATGGATGAGTAATGGATGATGCATGGATGGTTGCATGGACAATGGATGGATGGTGGACAATGATGGACAACCCCAGCCATTAAGAGATTCAGGGTCTAGGGATCCCTGGCTGCATTGAGGGACAGGTACATGGGAACGTTGGCAGAAGAATGAGCTCTGTGATTGGCTGAGTGCTTGGCCTGGGCCACTTTCCCTTTACCATGACCCTCCTCTTCCTCCTCCTCCATCTCCTCCTGATCCTCCCTGCAGGACCAAGCGGAAGCCAGCAGGTGACCCCAAGGAGAAGATCGCACTCCAGCCCCAGGATGGGCCCCCCCTGAAGGAGGCCTGAGGGACCCTGGGGGTGGGCACAGTGCTCCAGCCCTGGCCACCAGTGGCCACCACCCCAGAGCTTGATGGGGAGACCTTGTTCGTGACCGGTGACCTCCTGCTGGGACGGGGACATCTGGGCAGGAATAAAACAGCTCTGGTGGGGACACGTCTCGGGGTCTTATCTGTGCCCCCCCAGGTCACCCCCAACAACCACATCCGAGTCACCTCCCATGGGACAATGCCCAAGAATTATGTCCCCAAGGTCACTTCCAATAAAGGGACAACCAAGCACCCCTTTTTTTGGAGGTCATCTCCACAGGAGGACACTCCACAACCTTGTCCATCGATGAGGTGGCACCCAAGACCCTCATTTTTAGTGACACCTCATAACCTCATCCAACAGGACGCTGCCCAAGAACCGTGTCCCCAAAGTCACCTCAGATAAGGTGGCACCAAGAACACCACGCTGGCTGTCACCTCCAACAAGACAATTCTCAATAACCCCAAACCAGCTCTTGTCCCGGTAGAGGTGTCCCCCAAATCCCAGAGAAACTGAGGAAGCACCGGGAGCTCCCTATCCCACCCCGCCCCCTTGCCACGGTGCCCCTTCCCCGATTTCTGTCCCCTGAAGCCACCCCGGCCCTTGCTCCCATTTCTGACGTGTCCCTTGGCCCCATCAAATCCCCATCAAAAATTAACCCCCGGCGGGGAATGCGCTGACCCAGGCAGGGCCACTTCTGTCAGCACCTTTCGGTCGCCTTTTGACCACTGAAATCACTAAAATTTAACCCAAAGGCGCCACCGAAGGCCGGACATTGGTCCATGCCAGGAGACCTCCTCTCCCTGCGGTGCCCACCCTGATGCCACCCAACCTCCTGGATGGCCCCTCTCCAAAACCTGACTTTTCCCCTCAAAAAAAGCAATGCTGTGAAATAATAATTAAAAGGAATTAGGTATTCCTCATTTTCCTGCCCCAAATCGCTCCAGTTTTGCCCCACTTTGGGGGACTTTTGCCCCGAAAACACCTTTTTTTTACCCCTGGACACCTCTGCGCTGCACTTTTGCCTTCTTCTTCTGGAAAACCACCAAAAACCCCCCAGAGGTGTCAAACATTAACCCAAACCACCCTTGGGTTGGGTTATATAGGAGACCACCCCTGGGTGCTGCTGGAGGGAAGACACCGCGTGGGACAGGGAGGCATTTTTGGGGTGAAACCCCTGAAATCCGGGGCTCTGCATGGCTGTGGGGCGTTCCCAGGCCCCGGTGGTGGCAAGATGGCTTTTGCCAGTCTCCTGGAGCACGTGGGGGGCATGGGGCGCTTCCAGGTGGTCTCGGTGCTGCTCCTGTCCCTGCCCGTGCTGATGATGGCCAGCCACAACCTCCTGCAGAACTTCACCGCCGCCACCAGCGACCACTGGTGCCGCCCGCGCCCGGAGGCCAACGCCACCGGCCTGGACCCCGAGGCCCTGCTGAGGGTCTGGGTCCCCCGCGGGGAGCGGTGCCGGCGCTTTGTGACACCCCAGTGGTGGCTTTTGGAGGCCAACGGTTCGGAGCCCAACAGCTCCTGGCCGGAGACGGAGCCGTGCGGCGATGGTTGGACCTACGACCGCAGCGTCTTCACCAGTACCATCATCACTGAGGTGGGATGATGGTGGGGGGGTTTTGGGGGGGGGGTCTGGTGGGCTTTTCACCCAATCCCGTGGGTGGGTCCCACCTGGAGACACCAACGAAGGGTCTGCTGCCAACACAGCATTGACCTCTCCCAACTGGAGCATCTTCCCCACTCAACCTTTGGTGGAGATGCTCAACACCAGGAAACCCCAGGAGGGGAAGGGAGGGATGGGGAGGTGTTTGCCATCCACAAGGGGGTCACAAAGGGTCACAAGACCCTTGGATGGACCTTCCAACCACAGCAATGCTGGCAAGCGTGGCCAAGCATTCAGTGTCACCTTTCCCTTGGCCATTCATTGACCCTACCGGCCACCACGGGCGGTTTTGGGGTTTGGGAGGCCAGAGGGGTCCCTGCTCTCTGTCCCACCCCGTGTCCTTGTCCCTCGGCAGTGGGACCTGGTGTGCAGCTCCCGGGGGCTCAAGCAGCTGGCGCAGTCGCTCTACATGGCCGGAGTCCTGGTGGGCGGCCTCTTCGGGGGGCTCTCGGACAGGTGAGGGGGGCACTGGCAGAGAGGTGGGGTGGCATCGGGGGGGTCCTCTCACCTCCTCTGCCTCCTCCTCATTCCCTCCTCCTCCTCCTCTTTCTCTTCCTCACCCTCTCTTCCTTCTCATCCCCTTTTTCTCCTCACCCCCTTCCCTCTTCCTCACTTCCTCACCCCTCTTCCCCCTCCTCGCCCCTTTTTCCTCCTCTTCACCCTCTCTTCCTTCCCCTGCCCCCTTCTTCATCCTTCTGGTCTCCTCCTCCTCTCCATTTTTTCCTCCCCTTCTCTTCCTCTTCCTCCTCCTCCACCCCCATTTCTTCATCCTCACCCCCTGCTGCTGCTCCTCCTCCTCCTCCGTGCCCAGGTTCGGCCGCCGCTCGGTGCTCACCTGGTGCTACCTGCAGATGGCCGCCATGGGCACCTGCTCGTCCTTCGCGCCCACCTTCACCGTGTACTGCCTGTTCCGCTTCCTGACGGGCATGGCCTTCTCGGGCATCGTCCTCAACAGCGTCTCCCTCTGTACGTCACCCCCGGGCCCAGTACCTGCCCTGGGTGGGCTCCGTGTCCCCCCTGAACCTGTGGGAGCCATCCCGGTGGTGTCCATGTCCTCCAGACACCATCCTGGGTGTCTCCATGTCCTCCAGGCACCATCCTGGGGGTCTGCATGTCCTCCAGACACCATCCTGGGGGTCTTCATGTCCTCCAGACACCATCCTGTGGTGTCCATGTCCTCCAGACACCATCCTGGGGGTCTCCATGACCCCCTTGTACCGGTAGGGGCCTGTCTGGTGGTCTCCATGTCCCCTGGCACCTGTGTGTCCATGTCCCCCCAGTACCTGCCCTGGACTCCATGTTCCCCTGGGATACCTGTGGGCACCATCCCAGTGGTCTCCCCATCTCCTGGGCACCATCTCGGTGGTCTCCCCATCCCCTGGGGTGCCGGTGGTCACTCCCAGGTGGTCCCCACGTGCCATGTCCTGCAGCAATCGAGTGGATGCCGACGCACATGCGGGCGCTGGTGGGCACCTTCATGGGCTACTGCTACACCATCGGGCAGTTCCTGCTGGCCGGCGTCGCCTTCGCTGTCCCCGACTGGCGCCAGCTGCAGCTCGTGGTGTCCCTGCCCTACTTTGGCTTCTTCCTCTACTCCTGGTGAGGAGGAGGAAGGAGGAGGGATGGATGTAGGGAGGGACAATGGATGGATGATGGATGGATGGATGGATGGATGGATGGATGGATGGATGGATGGATGGATGGATGGATGGATGGATGGATGGATGGATGGATGGATGGATGGATGGATGGATGGATGGATGGATGGATGGATGGATGGATGGATGGATGGATGGATGGATGGATGGATGGATGGATCTCTCCATTTTCTCCTCCCCTTCTCTTCCTCTTCCTCCTCCTCCACCCCCATTTCTTCATCCTCACCCCCTGCTGCTGCTCCTCCTCCTCCTCCGTGCCCAGGTTCGGCCGCCGCTCGGTGCTCACCTGGTGCTACCTGCAGATGGCCGCCATGGGCACCTGCTCGTCCTTCGCGCCCACCTTCACCGTGTACTGCCTGTTCCGCTTCCTGACGGGCATGGCCTTCTCGGGCATCGTCCTCAACAGCGTCTCCCTCTGTACGTCACCCCCGGGCCCAGTACCTGCCCTGGGTGGGCTCCGTGTCCCCCCTGAACCTGTGGAAGCCATCCCGGTGGTGTCCATGTCCTCCAGACACCATCCTGGGGGTCTCCATGACCCCCTTGTACCGGTAGGGGCCTGTCTGGTGGTCTCCATGTCCCCTGGCACCTGTGGGTCCATGTCCCCCCAGTACCTGCCCTGGACTCCATGTTCCCCTGGGATACCTGTGGGCACCATCCCAGTGGTCTCCCCATCTCCTGGGCACCATCTCGGTGGTCTCCCCATCCCCTGGGGTGCCGGTGGTCACTCCCAGGTGGTCCCCACGTGCCATGTCCTGCAGCAATCGAGTGGATGCCGACGCACATGCGGGCGCTGGTGGGCACCTTCATGGGCTACTGCTACACCACCGGGCAGTTCCTGCTGGCCGGAGTCGCCTTTGCCGTCCCCGACTGGCGCCAGCTGCAGCTCGTGGTGTCCCTGCCCTACTTTGGCTTCTTCCTCTACTCCTGGTGAGGAGGAGGAAGGAGGAGGGATGGATGTAGGGAGATGGATGGATGGATGGATGGTGGCATGGACAGAGCAGTGGGGGGTGCATGGACAGGTGGGCAGAAGGAAAGGATGAAGAGAACATCCAGGAACAGGTGGGTGGGCAGTGGGGACATGGGGTGATGACCAGAGGGACAGGGGGACGTTGCTGGTGGGATTGAGGTGGGACAGTGACGAAGCTTGGGCTCCTGCCCCATCCCCTCCCACGCAGGTGGCTGACGGAGTCAGCGCGGTGGCTCGTCATGGTGGGGAGGTCCCACCAGGCCCTGCGGGAGCTCCAGAAGGTGGCCAGGATCAACGGGAAGAAGGAGGAAGGGGACAAGCTCGACATAGAAGTAAAAGGCCCTGTCCGGGTCGCCCAGGGTGTCCCTGGGGTGTTTTATAGAGGTCCCTTGAATATGCACTCTATGGACAACTGTCCATCCATGGTCACTGTATCCATCATCCTCATGCACCCTGTCCATCCATCCACTCATCTTCATCATCCATCCACTCATCTTCATCATCTCAATGACATCCATCATCTCCATCTCCACCCATCCCATCCATCCCTTCACCCATCCATGAATCCACCATCTCCATCCCACCACCCACCCACGACCCCCCTTCCCCTCTTCCACCCGTCCTGCCCAAACCTGCCCAGGTACAAGAGGGTCCCCATTGCCCCACCCCCATCCCAGAGCCCCCTCTGTCCCTCCAGACCCTGAGGTCCCACATGGAGAAGGAGATGACATCATCGAAGACCCGCCACACTGTGGTTGACCTGGTCCGGACGCCGGTCCTGCGCCGCATCTCCTTCTGCCTCTGCTTTGTGTGGTACGGCCGGCGGTGGAGGACACCAGTGGGTGGTTGTCCATCCTCCTCCACGTCCTTGACCCCCCATGCCACCCCACACCTCCCCACAGGTGGCATTTTCACCGCCTCTCCCCCCTCGTGGCCCAGGTTCTCCACCAGCTTCGCCTACTACGGGCTGGCCATGGACCTGCAGAACTTTGAGTTCGACATCTACGTGATCCAGCTGATCTTCGGCGCCGTGGACATCCCGGCCAAGCTGGTGTCCATCCTCACCATCACCTACGTGGGGCGCCGCTTCACCCAGGCCATCGCCCTCATCCTGGCCGGCTTGGCCATCCTGGCCAACGTCTTTGTGCCACGAGGTGAGGCTGGGGTGGTGTCAGTGGTGTCCCCTCCTCTCCAACCTCCCTGCGAGGGCCAGACGAGCTCAACCCATTGATGGAACCCCCACGTTGGGTCATTTTAGCTTTTTATGGGGGGTTTGTCCCAAATCCTGATGTTTGGGGTCTTCTCTTGTCAAGTGAGCTCAGCCCAAGTAGGGACACTGAGGTGACTCCCAGGTGTCCTGGTGTCCCTGCAGACCTCCGGACACTCCGGACAGCCCTGGCCGTCTTTGGGAAAGGTTGTTTGGCCGCGTCCTTCAACTGCGTCTTCCTCTACACGGGCGAGCTCTACCCCACTGTGATCCGGTAAGGAGGGGGCGTGTCTGGGGGCGTGGCCGGGTGGTCCCTCAGGGTGGTCCCTCAGGTGCCCTCAGGAGCTCTGCGTGTCCCACAGGCAGACGGGCATGGGCTTGGCCAACACCATGTCGCGGCTGGGCAGCATCATGGCCCCGCTGGTGAAGATGGCGGGCGAGCTCTTCCCGGCGCTGCCCTTCGTCATCTACGGCGCCGCGCCCGTGGTGTCGGGGCTGGTGGCCGCCTTCCTGCCCGAGACACGGAACATTGCCCTGCCCGAGACCGTGGAGGAGGTGGAGGGAAGGTGGGCTGGAGGGGATGGGTGGTGGGATGGGATGGAGGATGGGGAGGGACAGAGAGAACGTGGCTGAACCTGGGGGAGGAGGGATGGAGGTTGGTTGGGATGGATGATGGATGGATGGATGGATGGATGGATGGATGAATGGATGGATGATGGATGGATGGATGGATGATGGATGGATGGATGGATGGATGGATGATGGATGGATGGATGGATGGATGGATGATGGATGGATGGATGAAGGATGGATGGATGGATGGACGCCCATCCCAGCACCACAAAAACCTCCCTGTTCCCTCCAATCCCCCTCATCCCTCCCTCCCCACCAGGACACAATCCCAGAAGGACGAATCCCGACATCTCCAGGTCCCGCTCCAGCCCACCCAATCCAGCAACTCCACAGGGCCCCACTAGTGCCACCCCCCACCAAGGGACCCCCAAAACCCTCAGCCCTCGACTCTCCTGCCAGATGAATGAGCAGGATTTGGGGGGTGGAGGGGGTTCAACCCCCCCCAAAAAGCAAAGGGACAGCAGTGACCACAAGGACCCGGCTGTCCCCTCCCTGCAGAGTCGGGGGGATGCTGGGGCCCCCCCAGATCTCTTCGTTGAGGACGGTTCGGCCGTGCTGGAATAAAAAACAATAAAAGCAAAGCTCGTGTGAAATGCGGCCGGTGGGGGTGGGGTGGGGTGGGGGTTGTTTTCCCACGGCCGCGGGGGGTCCCGCGCAGCCGGGCCCGTCCCGCCCCGAAGGAAAACACGGGAGCCAGCGGGACACCGCGGCCTCGGCACCGCGGGACCCCCCGGCCCCTCCCCTCGGCCGGAGCTGCCGGGGATGGACAATGCCGGGAAAGAGTGCGGGAAGGATCTGGGAGCCCCAGGATCGGGGATCCGGGGGATTGGGGATCCTGAGGATCAGGGATTCCGAGGCGACATCCATCATGGGATTTGGGATCCTGAGGATTGGGGATCACCAGGATTGGGGATCACGGGGATTGGGGACCCCTAGGATTGGGGATCCTGAGGATCAGAGATCCTGGGGATTGCGGATCCCAAGAATCCCCATGTCCGGGTGCCCGGGGATCCCAAGGACCCACAGACCCTGTTCCTGGACACCCCAAAGACCCAGATCCCAAGGATTCAGGTGTTTGGATGTCCAGGGATCCCAGGGACACAAGATCCAGGCACCAGGGTGCTCAGACATCCCAAGAGCTCAGGAATCTCCAGGGCTCAGGGATCCCAAGGACTCAGGTGCCTGAGTCTCCAGGGATCCGGGATCCTGGGATCCAGACCACCCAGGCATGCCAAGGATCCCGACACTCTGAGGGCACAGTGATGTCGCTGACCCAGATGTCCCAGAAGTCCCCAGGACCCAGAGATCCCGAGGATCCACGTGTCCGCACACCCGGCCCACGCCAATCCGGCCGGCGCCAATCCGGGTGTCCGGCTCCCCCCCCGTCACCCCCACGTCCCCCCCATCCCTCCCACGCTCCGCTGCCCCCGCCGCCCTCCTGCCCGGGGTCCAAGGGGCTCCCAGGGACGCGGTTCAGGGCCCCCAGGACTTTGCCTCATCAATGATCCACCCTGGAGGGACAGAACGGGCCAGAGCGGGCCGGGGGTCCCCATCTGCCGGGGTCTGGGGGCTCCCAGGGCGAGGAAGAGGATGGGTTAGGTGGGATGGAGGGGCAGCCCCTGAGTCTCCCGGGTGGGCCCGGCGTGGTCGGCACCGGCATTTCCGTCCCGGGAGCGTCTCCACCGATCCATGGCGGGTTCCGGAGTCAAACGTTAACCGGGACCGGGGTGGCCTTAAATAGGAGCGGGGCCAGGCCGGGGGCAGGGCAGGGCCATGGGCAGCCGCGGGGCCGGGGGGTGCTAGCGGCCGGCCGAGGGCTCGGGGCAGCGGGATCGGGTGCTGGCAGAGGCCGGGAGGTACCGGCGGTGACGGACAGGTGAGTGATCAATAGCGATCGATGGGCTGGTCACGGAGAGCCCGGCGAGGTCAGGAGAGAGATCAAAGCTCAGTAGATTCATCAAGGGAGAGAAGGGCTGATCAATAGGGATTATAGGTCAGGAGGGTGATCAATTGAGAGTTTTAAATAAATAAATCAACAAATAGAGGGATGAAAGGTCAATAAATCAATCAAGAGAGCAATTAAAGGTCAGTCAATCAATAAGAAGATTACAGGCCAAGAGACTGATCAATAGAGAGGTTAAGATGGATACATTGATCAATAGATTATAAATCAATAACTGGATCATTAGAATGATTGATGGAGAAGATCATTATTCTGATTGGTTGATTATGGTTCAATAGATTGGTCAATAGAAAAACAGAGACCAATTGGATGATCAATTAATAGATTAGAGATCAATTTATTGGTACTAGAGATACACAGACTAACAGATGGATCAATAGAGATCCCTCTAGATTAATAGATTGATTGATCAAGCCATCAGTAGATTAACGGATCAATCAATAGGTCAACAGATCAATAACAGAAACATATGGATCAATAAACTAATGCATAAAGAGATCTTGGACTAATGATGATCAGCCTATTACAGATAAGGGGAGTCTAGTAATCAATAATTTATCAACAGAGAAAGAACTCGCTGTATTGATTGGCAGGGGGACCAATAGATCGATCAATAGGTTGATTGTCAGCAGAAAATCGATTTGTTGATAGGCTAAGGATCAAATAATGGGCAGAGAGAGCTGAGAAATCCATTGATCCGTGGATCGATCGATTGACCAAGGGGTGAAGGAGGGGCCGGGGGGGCGGGGCCGAGGGAGGGGCGGCCGGAGGGACAGAGGGACGGCCGGAGGGACAGAGGGACGGCCGGAGAGCCCGGACAGTCCCGAGAGTCCGAGCCGCAGCCTGGGAACACCCGAGGGAGGAGGAGGAGGAGGAGGAGGAGGAAGAGGAGGAGAGCAGGTGGGGATCGATTGATCGTGAGGGATCTGAGGGATTGGTGGGACAGGGGACAGAGAATTGATTGATTGATGGATGGATTGATTAATATATTGATTAATTGGGAAGGATTGGGGAGAGCTGAGAGCAAGAAATGATCAGTGACTGATTGATTGATAGATCAATAGAGTGAGAGTGATGGTGATTGGTGGATTGATTAATAGATAATGGATCAATATATTGATAGATCAGAGAGATTGATAGACTGATCTATCAACAGATAGATCAATAGAGATCAATAGATTGATCTAGACTGATAGCAGATTGATTAATCAGACTGATAGATAAATCCATTGATCAAGTGATGGATCAATCTATCAATACACCAGCTGATCCATCTGATAGACCAATAAATTGATTGATTGATTGATTGATTGATTGAACAATCAATAGGTGATCAATAGAGGGTCCTCGTGCCTGTCCCTTGGCGAGCTGGGCACCATCCACCATCCTCCATCCACCCTTGGCCACTCCGTGTCCTTCCTCCACCCTGGGCCAACCCTCATCCTCCTCCCTCCATCCCTCAGCCATCCCTCCGCTGACCACCCAAACCATGCCTGACCTCTCCTGGCCCCTCCTTTGGTCCATCCCTCAGCCTGTCCATCTGCTGACCACTGACCACCCTTTGGCCATTCCATTCCCTGACCACCCTTTGGCCATCCACTGACCACCCTTTGGCCATCCCCTGACCACCCTTTGGCCATTCCATTCTCTGACCACCCTTTGGCCATCCACTGACCACCCTTTGGCCATTTCCTTCCCTCTGGCCAGTCCCTGACCTCCCCTTGGCCATCCCCTGACCCCCCTTTGGCCGTTCCCTGACCACCCTTTGGCCATTCCATTCCCTGACCACCCTTTGGCCATCCACTGACCACCCTTTGGCCATTTCCTGGCCACCCTTTGGCCATTCCATTCCCTGACCACCCTTTGGCCATCCACTGACCACCCTTTGGCCATCCCCTGACCACCCTTTGGCCATTCCCTGACCACACCTTGCTCCATCCCTCCCCTTTCCTCCTCTTCCCACCCTCAGCTGACCTGGGCCCTGTCCAGCTCCGTCCCCTCTCCGGCCATGTCCTTCGTGGAGCTGCTGTCCCGCCTGGGTGGCATGGGCCGCTTCCAGGTGACCTACGTGGCCGCGCTGGCCGTCCCGCTGCTCATGCTGGCCAGCCACAACCTCCTGCAGAACTTCACCGCCGGCATCCCCGAGCACCACTGCCGGCCCCGGCCCGTGGCCAACGCCACCGCGGCCGACGTCCCCCTGGTCGTGTCCATCCCCTGGGACAGCCACCGCCGGCCCCAGAGCTGCCGCCGCTACGTGGAGCCCCAGTGGCACCTCTTGGACACCAACGGCTCGGCCAACGGCACGGCCACCGAGGCGGCCACCGAGCCGTGCCATGACGGCTGGATGTACCTGGATGGCATCTTCACCGACACCATCGTCACTGAGGTGAGGGAGGGTGGCACCCCGGGGTCCCCCAGGGCGGGGGGATGCTGGTGACCCTGTGGTGTCCCTGTGGTGTCCCTGTGGTGTCCCCGTGGTGACCCCCATGGTGTCCCTGTGGTGTCCCTGTGGTAACCGCTGTGGTGTCCCCATGGTGACTCCTGTGGTGACCCCTATGGTGTCCCCATGGTGAGCCCCATGGTGACCCCAGTGGTGACCCCGTGTCCCCTCCTGGTGGCAGTGGGACCTGGTGTGTGACTCCAAGAAGATGAGGCAGGTGGCCCAGTCCATCTACATGGCCGGGATCCTGCTGGGCTCCAGCCTCTTCGGGATCCTCTCCGACAAGTGCGTGCTTGCCCGGCGCTGGACTGGGAGGAACTGGGAGGAGCTGGGAGGAGCTGGGAAGGGGGAGAGGAGTGTTGTGTTCTCTGCCCCCGCTGACCCCCACTGTCCTGGTGTCCCCAGGGTGGGGCTGTCCCAGCACAGGTTGTCCCCCTCTGTCCCCACGTCACTCCCAGCGTTCCCAGTACCCGTATTCTCACCCCAGTGTTCCCAGTGCCTTGTGCGCCCATCCCAGTGCCCACAGCCCTGTCCCAGTGACCCCAGCACACCATGTCCCCCTTCCCAGTGCCCACGTCCCCAACCCAGGATCTCCAGAATCCAACATTCTCCCATCCCAGTGCCTCCAGTTCCCCAAATCCCCCATCCCAGTGCTCCCAGTGCCCCCCAAGCCCCCCGGATCCCACTCCCCAGCCCCCCGGGAGCCCTCCCCGGGGCGGATCCCGCAGATCCCGGGGCTCTCCCTCCGCAGGCGCTGCGGGCTCTGGTGCGCCGGGAGCCGCCGCTGCCGGGCGGGGCCGTGGCCGCGCTCGTCCGGACCCCCGGCATGAGGACGGTGTCGTGCGGGGTCTCCTTCGTCTGGTGAGTCCTGGCAAAAAACATCTTTTTTTTGGGGAGGGAAAAACGATTATTTGGGGAAAAAAACTATTTGGGGTGGAAAATACACAATTTGGGGAGATAACTCATCAAGTTTTGGGTAAAAATCCCTGATTTTTGGTGCAAAGAAACAGCTTTTGAGGGAAAGAATCCCCCCACCTTTTGGGGAAAACCTCAATGTTTTGGGAGACTCCTTCACTTGTTGGGAAAAAAACATCTTTTGTGGGGAAAAACATCTTTGGGGGAAAAATCCCCACCTTTATTGGGAAACCAACCTCACCTTTTTGGCAAAAAACACCTTTGGGGATCACAACTCACTTTTTTTTAGGGGGAAAAACACATTTTGGGGTAAATTTCCCCATATTTTTGGAGAAAAACCCCGCTTTTTGGGTCAAACCTAGAACTTTTGGGGCAAAAAAATCATCTCTTGGGACCAAAGCACACTAGGGCAAACCTCCATCTTTTGGGACCACCTTCATCTTTTGGGACAACCTCCATCTTTGGGGAAAAACTCCATCTTTGGGACAATCTCCATCTTTTGGGAGAATCTCATCTTTTGGGACAACCTCCATCTTTTGGGAAAAACTCCATCTTTTGGGACAACCTCCATCTTTTGGGACAATTTCCATCTTCTGGGACAACCTCCATATTTTGGGACAACCTCCATCTTTTGGGACAACCTCCATCTTTTGGGACAACCTCCATCTTTTGGAGTCCCAACCTCCCATTTTGGGTGTTTCTGGTGCTGATTTGTCGGATTTTGGTGAAGGTTCTCCACCAGCTTCGCCTACTACGGGCTGGCCATGGACCTGCAGGGCTTCGGCTTCAACGTGTACCTGAGCCAGCTGGTGTTCGGCGCCGTGGACATCCCGGCCAAGCTGCTGTCCGTGCTGGTCATCTCCTGCCTCGGCCGGCGCCTGGCCCAGGGCGGCTCCCTGGCGCTGGCCGGCCTCTGCATCCTGGCCAACATCTTCGTGCCCAGTGGTGGGAGCGGCCACCGGGAGGGAGGGACGGGGAGGGGACGGGGAGGGACACGGGGGGAGGGATGGAGGAGAATGGGGTGGAGGAGAATGGGATGGAGGAGAATGGGATGGGGGGGGGATCTGGGACCCCCGGGGGGATTTTGGGGCCGGGACCCCCCTGGCGTTCCCCCAGCCCCTCCCCCCCGGGTTATTTATTCAATCCCAATAAAATCTTGTGGGAATTTCGGGATCCGGCTCCGCCCGTGGACATTCCAGGGGGGGGCTGAAGGATTTGGGGGCGTCCCCACCCCCCAAAGGGACTCAGACATCAGGGGATCCCCCCCGGAGCTCGTTAACGAGGATTAATTGGAATTCCCGGAGCTCGGTGGCCTTTGCCCCAATTCCGGCGATTTGGCTGCAGAATAAATCTGGGAACGGGATTAATTCGCATTTCCAGGCGGGACAAAAAACCCCAAAAGGGGCAGAATTAACCCCAAAAAAAGGGTGGAACAATCTCAGCACGGGCCCTGGAAAAGCCACATCCCAATCCCAAAACTGGCATTTTTCACCCCAAAAATCAGCCAGCACCACCTCAATCTCATCCCTCAGAGAAGCCACAGCCCAACCCCCAAATTTGGGTTTTTTACCCCAAATCCAGCCACCCATCAGCCCCAAAATCCTCCAATTTTGCCCCAAATCCACGTTGTGCTCTCAAATCCCCATTTTTGCTCCAAAATCCCACCTTTTTGCCCCCAAATCCCACCTTTTTCCCCCCAAACTTCATTTTTGCCCCAACTCCTCCCGTTTTTTCCCAAAAAACCCCACTCGGTCCATTTTTTTTTGCATTTTTTGCCGTTTTTATTACCAAAAATGAGCCGTTTTGAGCCGTTTTGGTGTCGTTTCGCTCGTTCCCGGATAAGACACAACCGTGAAGCTTCGCCGAGGGGACTTTGGGGTGAATCCCCCTGGTTTTGGGACATTTCCATGTCCCCACCCCCGGCAGGGCACGAAAACGGGGGGAAAAAAAAATCCCATTTTGAACCAAAACGCCGTCGATTCCCCCCAAAATCGTGCTCGGGACGGGGAGGAGAGAAACCACCTGGATGAGGCCTCGGAACTGGAAATTTTGGGGAGGATTTCAGGGATTTGGGTCAATTTTGAGCACTTTGGGGGAGTTTTTCAGTCATTTTTGGGGTTGTTTTGGCCAGTTTTGGGGGATTTTGGTCGTTTTTGGGAAATTTCCGTGATTCTTTGGGGTTATTTTGGTCAATTTGTGGTTTTATTTGGGGATATTTAGGATTTAAAAAATAATTTTGGGGGGATGCATCACCACTTTGGGGTTATTTGGTTATTTTAGGGCTGTTTGGGTCATTTTGGGGTTATTTTGGTCAGGTTTGGGGCTATTTGAGTTACTTGGGGGTTATTTTGGGTGTATTTTAGTGATTTTAGGGTTATTTTGGTCTCTTTTTTTGGTTATTTGTATAATTTTGTATTACTTCAGTCATTTTGGGGTTATTTTGGGGGCTATTTGGTCGATTTTGGGGCTATTTCAACATTATTTCAGTAAATTTGGGGTTATTTTGGTCGAACTTTGGGCTATTTCGGTCATTTTGGGATTATTTCATTTGGTGCATTATTTGGGTCATTTTTGGGGTCATTTTCCCATTTTTTTGGGTTATTTTTTGCCCATTTTTGGGGTTATTTTGGCCATTTTTGGGGCCCATCCCGGGGGGGGGGGGGGGGGGGGGGGGGGCTGGGAGAATCCTGATGGGGGGGAATAAAAATGAGGGAAAATGGAATAAAAATCAAAGTGGGAAAAATCCCTCAAAAAATGGAAAAAAAAAAAAAAAAACCCCAAAAACCCCCCAAAATTCCAAAAAAAAAAAAAAAAAGAGGGAAAAGGGAAAGTTTGGCACCTGTGGTGCCAGGAGGGGGAGGGGGGTGAGGTTTGGGGTGAAATCCTGGGAATTGGGGAGGAAGGGATGAAAGTCACCCCAAAAATGTCACCCTGGGGGGGGTCACCCCAAAAAATGTCAGGAGGGGAAAAAAAAAAGGGAAAAAAAGGAGCCAAAAAATGGGAGAAAAGGAGCCAAAAAATGGGAAAAAAGGAGCCAAAATTGGGAAAAGGGAGGAAAGAAAGAGGTGGAGTGAAGGGAATGGAAGAGTTTTATAAAAATATGGAAAAAGGTGGAAAAAAGAAGGGAGAAAAGGGAAATAGAGGGAAAAGGGAATGAGGATTAAAAAAAAAAAAAGAAAATTAAAAAAAAAGGGAAATAAAAGAAAAAGGACCCCCCAAAAAGAGGGAAAAACAGGGAAAAAAAGGGAAAGGACCCAAAAAAAAGGGGAAATAAAAGGCCCCAAAGCCGAGGGGGTGAGGGTGAGGGTGAGGATGAGGATGGGGAGGAAGAGCAGGATCAGGAGCTGTTCTGGTTCTGGTAAATCGACGCCTTCTCCTTGAGCAGGTCCAGGCAGAGGTGGCAGCTCCAGCTCCCTGCAAAAACCGGATCAGCCTTCGGCCTCAGCCCCTCATCCTCCCAGGAGGGCCACTCAGCAATCCATTAGCCAATTAATTAACCAGTCAATTAATCAATTCATCACGGGGGTTAATGAGAGAGGAGGGGGGTGGGGAGGGGAAGAAGAGAGAGGACGAGAAAGGAGGAAAAGGAGGAAGAGGAGGAAAAGGGGAATAAAGAAGGAAGTGGAGGAAGAGGAGGAGGAAGAGGAGGAATGAGGGAGGAAGGGAGAAAAGGAAGGGAGGGAGAGGATGAAGAGGAAGAGGATGAAGAGGGAGAAGAAAGAAAGGAGGAGGAAAAGGAGAATGGAGGAAGAGGAAGAAGAGGAGGAAAAGGAGGGAAGAAAAGGAGGAAGAAGAGGAGGAAGAAAAGGAGGAAGAAGAGGAGGAAGAGGAAGATTTGGGACAATAAAACCCCTCCCCACATCCCAGAAGGAAACCCAGGGAGAACCCAAAGGGATCAGGAATTTCAGGGGAGGATTTGGGGTGGGATCCCAGAGGATCAGGAGTTCCAGGGGATCAGGAACCCCAGGGGAATTTTGGGGCACAATCCCAGGGGAGCAGCAGCCCCATGGCACCTGTGGTGCCAGGAGGGGGAGGGGGGTGAGGTTTGGGGTGAAATCCTGGGAATTGGGGGGGAAGGGATGAAAGTCACCCCAAAAATGTCACCCTGGGGGGGGTCACCCCAAAAAATGTCAGGAGGGGAAAAAAAAAAGGGAAAAAAAGGAGCCAAAAAATGGGAGAAAAGGAGCCAAAAAAAGGGAAAAAAGGAGCCAAAAAATGGGAAAAGGGAGGAAAAAAAGTGGTGGAGTGAAGGGAATGGAAGAGTTTTATAAAAATATGGAAAAAGGTGGAAAAAAGAAGGGAGAAAAGGGAAATAGAGGGAAAAGGGAATGAGGATTAAAAAAAAAAAAAAAAATTAAAAAAAAAGGGAAATAAAAAAAAAAGGACCCCCCAAAAAGAGGGAAAAACAGGGAAAAAAAGGGAAAGGACCCAAAAAAAAGGGGAAATAAAAGGCCCCAAAGCCGAGGGGGTGAGGGTGAGGGTGAGGATGAGGATGGGGAGGAAGAGCAGGATCAGGAGCTGTTCTGGTTCTGGTAAATCGACGCCTTCTCCTTGAGCAGGTCCAGGCAGAGGTGGCAGCTCCAGCTCCCTGCAAAAACGGGATCAGCCTTCGGCCTCAGCCCCTCATCCTCCCAGGAGGGCCACTCAGCAATCCATTAGCCAATTAATTAACCAGTCAATTAATCAATTCATCACGGGGGTTAATGAGAGAGGAGGGGGGTGGGGAGGGGAAGAAGAGAGAGGACGAGAAAGGAGGAAAAGGAGGAAGAGGAGGAGGAAGAGAATAAAGAAGGAAGTGGAGGAAGAGGAGGAGGAAGAGGAGGAATGAGGGAGGAAGGGAGAAAAGGAAGGGAGGGAGAGGATGAAGAGGAAGAGGATGAAGAGGGAGAAGAAAGAAAGGAGGAGGAAAAGGAGAATGGAGGAAGAGGAAGAAGAGGAGGAAAAGGAGGGAAGAAAAGGAGGAAGAAGAGGAGGAAGAGGAAGATTTGGGACAATAAAACCCCTCCCCACATCCCAGAAGGAAACCCAGGGAGAACCCAAAGGGATCAGGAATTTCAGGGGAGGATTTGGGGTGGGATCCCAGAGGATCAGGAGTTCCAGGGGATCAGGAACCCCAGGGGAATTTTGGGGCACAATCCCAGGGGAGCAGCAGCCCCAGGGGGGTTTTGGGGCACAATCCCAAGGGATCAGGAGTTCCAGGGGAATTTCTGGGGTGGGATCCCAGAGGATCAGGAATCCCAGGGGAATTTTTGGGGCACAATCCCAGAGGATCAGGAACCCCAGGGGAATTTTGGGGCACAATCCCAGGGGATCAGGAGTTCCAGGGGAATTTTGGGGCACACTCCCAGAGGATCAGGAGCTCCAGGGGAATTTTGGGGCACACTCCCAGGGCCGGACTCACCCTCGGGGGGCTCGGACATGGGCGGGGTCAGGCAGTACATGTGGTACCCACGGTCGCAGTCGTCACAGAACAGCAGCTGGTCCTGCCCAGGGCACATTCCCATCATCCCACTCCCAAAATTCCCGCTTTTCCCCCCAAAAAAAAGCCTCTCCCACAGCTCCCCAAAGGGTTTGTCACTCCCAGATGGATTCTGGGCACTCCCAGATGGATTCTGGGCACTCCCAGACGGATTCTGGGCACTCCCATGTGGATTTTTTTCACTCCCAGGCTGTTTTTGGGCACTCCCAGGTGGATTTTTGTCACTCCCAGGTGATTTTAAGCTCTCCCAGACAGATTCTGGGTTCTCCCATGTGGATTTTTGTCACTCCCATGTGGATTTTTGTCACTCCCAGACAGATTTTAGTCACTCCCAGATGGATTTTTGTTACTCCCAGGTGACTTTGGGCTCTCCCAGACAGATTTTTGTCACTCCCAGATGGATTTTTGTCACTCCCAGATGGATTTCTGTCACTCCCATGTTGATTTTTGTCACTCCCAGATGGATTTCTGTCACTCCCATGTTGATTTTTGTCACTCCCAGATGGATTTCTGTCACTCCCATGTGGATTTTTGCCCCTCCCAGACGTCCAGGGGAATTTTGGGGCACACTCCCAGGGCCGGACTCACCCTCGGGGGGCTCGGACATGGGCGGGGTCAGGCAGTACATGTGGTACCCACGGTCGCAGTCGTCACAGAACAGCAGCTGGTCCTGCCCAGGGCACATTCCCATCATCCCACTCCCAAAATTCCCGCTTTTCCCCCCAAAAAAAAGCCTCTCCCACAGCTCCCCAAAGGGTTTGTCACTCCCAGATGGATTCTGGGCACTCCCAGATGGATTCTGGGCACTCCCAGACGGATTCTGGGCACTCCCATGTGGATTTTTTTCACTCCCAGGCTGTTTTTGGGCACTCCCAGGTGGATTTTTGTCACTCCCAGATGGATTTTTGTCACTCCCATGAGGATTTTTGCCACTCCCAGGTGATTTTGGGCTCTCCCAGGTGATTTTGGGCTCTCCCATGTGGATTTTTGTCACTCCCAGGTGATTTTAAGCTCTCCCAGACAGATTCTGGGTTCTCCCATGTGGATTTTTGTCGCTCCCATGTGGATTTTTGTCACTCCCAGACAGATTTTAGTCACTCCCAGATGGATTTTTGTTACTCCCAGGTGACTTTGGGCTCTCCCAGACAGATTTTTGTCACTCCCAGATGGATTTTTGTCACTCCCAGATGGATTTCTGTCACTCCCATGTTGATTTTTGTCACTCCCAGATGGATTTCTGTCACTCCCATGTTGATTTTTGTCACTCCCAGATGGATTTTTGTCACTCCCAGATGGATTTCTGTCACTCCCATGTTGATTTTTGTCACTCCCAGATGGATTTCTGTCACTCCCATGTTGATTTTTGTCACTCCCAGATGGATTTCTGTCACTCCCATGTGGATTTTTGCCCCTCCCAGACGGATTTCTGTCACTCCCATGTGGATTTTTGCCCCTCCCAGACGGATTTTTGCCATTCCCATGTGGATTTTTGCCCCTCCCAGACGGATTTTGGGCTCTCCCGGCGCCGGGGCACTCACGTCGTTCTCGGAGGTGCCGCAGATGTTGCAGCACTTGCACTCGATGCACTGCCAGCGGTACGTCTTCACCGCTGCCATCATCACCGGCGTGAACTGCAGGCACGACGGGTGCCCTGGGGACATCGGGGACATCGGGGACATCAGGGACACGGCAGGGACCCAACCCAACCACTCTGCCCCTCTCCAGCCCGATCCAAGCTCACCCAGGAGAAGGAAATCCTTGGATCCACGATCCCAAAAATCCAAAAATCCTCCTGAACCCCAGCCCCAATCCAGGAGAAGAAAATCCTTGGATCCACGATCCTAAAGATCCAAAATCCTCCCCAACCCGAGCCCCAATCCAGGAGAAGGAAATCCTTGGATCCAGGATCCCAAAAATCCAAAAATCCTCCTGAACCCCAGCCCCAATTCAGGAGAGAGAAATCCTTGGATCCAGGATCCCAAAGATCCAAAAATCCTCCCCAGCCCCAATTCCAAAAGGAAATCCTTGGATCCCCAATCCCAAATGTCCCCCCTAACCCCAATCCAGAAGGAAACCCTTGGACCCCCAACCCCAAATGTCCCTCCAACCCCATCCCAGAAGGAAACCCTCGGACCCCCAACCCCAAATGTCCCCCCAGCCCCCCCAGCCCCCTGACCGGAGCGGCCGCAGTCGGAGCAGGACACGAGCTCCTCGGGCTGTCCCGTCTTCTTGTTGATCTTGGAGTCCCCCAGGCAGAAGTCGCAGTAATTGTTGGGAAGGGCCAACCCGTCGGGACCCTTCTTGGCTGGGGAGGGGACAGGGATCGGGATCAGGATCAGGGATCGGGATCAGGGATCGGGAATGGGATCAGGATCAGGATCAGGGATTGGGATCAGGATCAGGGATTGGGATCAGGATCAGGGATTGGGATCAGGATCAGGGATTGGGATCAGGATCAGGGATCGGGATCAGGGATTGGGGACAGGGATCGGGATCAGGATCAGGGATCGGGATCAGGATCAGGGATCGGGATCAGGATCAGGGATCAGGGACAGGGATCAGGATCAGGGATCAGGATCAGAGATCGGGATCAGGATCAGGGATCAGGGACAGAATTCCCCCGGAGCTGCTCCCGACTCCTCCGCTCTGCTCAATCCCAGGGGGAATTTTGCCCTGCTCCATCCCAGGGGGAATTTTACTCTGCTCAATCCCAGAGGGAATTCTGCCCTGTTCCATCCCAGGGGAAATTTTACTCTGCTCAATCCCAGGAGAAATTCTGCTCTGCTCAATCCCAGGGGAAATTTTGCTCTGCTCAATCCCAGGGGAAATTCTGCTCTGCCCAATCCCGGGGGAATTTTGCCCTGCTCAATCCCAGGGGAATTTCACTCTGCTCAATCCCAGGGGAAATTCTGCTCTGCTCCATCCCAGGGGGAATTTTGTTTTTTATTTCTTCCCTCACATTTCTGCTCCTCGGAGCGCTGGGACACGGGCGTGGGGGGCTGCGAGTCGTCCTTGTCGTCGCCCTCCTCCTCGGCCAGGTGCGAGTGGGCGCAGTGGTCGCTCAGCCCCGGGCGGTTCTTGTAGCGCTTCCCGCAGACTGCCGAGGAAATCCGGGAAAATCCCGGGAAAATCCCGGTGAGGGACAGGCAGGGGAGGGAAATCCCAAATCCTGAACCCTCCGGGGCCGATCCCAGCGCCGGGCTGGGAGAGCAAAGAGGCTGGAATTGGGTAAAAAACCCTGGAATTGCTGAGGAATGCCAGGTAGGAGGAATTCCAGGTAAACACCCGGGATCCCAAAGGAATTCCAGGTATTAGGAATTCCAGATAAACTCCCTGGGATCCCTAAGGAATTCCAGGTAAATTCCCTGGCATCCCAAAGAAATTCCAGGTAATGACCCGAGATTCCAAAGAATTCCAGGTAAATTCCATGGGATCCCAAAGGAATTCCAGGTAAATTCCCTGGCATCCCAAAGAAATTCCAGGTAATGACCCGAGATTCCAAAGAATTCCAGGTAAATTCCATGGGATCCCAAAGGAATTCCAGGTAAATTCCCTGGCATCCCAAAGAAATTCCAGGTAATGACCCGAGATTCCAAAGAATTCCAGGTAAATTCCAGGAAACTGCAGAATTTGGGGTGGAAACTCTGGGATTTGGGGGGGAAACTGCAGAATTTGGGGTTCAAACTCTGGGATTTCGGGTGGAAACTCCAGGATTGGGGTGAAAACTCTGAGATTGGGGTGCAAACTCTGAGATTGGGGTGCAAACTGCAAAATTTGGGGTGCAAACTCTGGGATTTGGGTGGAAACTTTAGGATTGTGGTGGAAACTGCAGAATTTGGGGTGGAAAGTCCAGGATTGGGATGGAAACTCCTGGATTGGGGTACAAACTGCAGAATTTGGGGTGGAAACTCTGGAATTTGAGTGGAAACTCTGGGATTTGGGGTGGAAACTCCAGGATTGGGGTAGAAACCCTGGGATTTGGGTGGAAACTTTAGGATTGGGGTGGAAACTGCAGAATTTGGGGTGCAAACGCTGGAATTTGGGTGGAAACTGCAGAATTTGGGGTGCAAACTCTGGAATTTGAGTGGAAACTCCGGGATTTAGGGTGGAAACTGCAGACTTTGGGGTGGAAACTCCGGGATTTGGGTGGAAACTGCAGAACTTGGGGTGCAAACTCCGGATTGGGGTGGAAACTCCGGGATTTGGGGTGGAAACTCCGGGATTCGGGCACGAGCTCCGTGTTTTTCCCACTGCTGGCTCCACAGGGGGGTTAATCTTTGTTTTCCCGGCCCCGTTCCCTGCTGGAAAAGGGTCAGGGGGCCCGAGCGGGGCCGGCGCTGACGTCGCTCCCGTGGCCTTTGGCTTCTCCCTCCCCTCCTCCCGCCCGCCCCGAGGCTCCACAGGAGGGATTTGGGATTTTTTTTTGTCGTTGGGGGTGGAAAAAAAGGGGGGAAAAAAAGGAGGAAAAGCAGGAAAAACGAGCAGAGAGAGAGCGGAACTACCTCGGTCGGGAGGTTTCAAGGAATGCTTTTGTTTGTAACTGTCTGAAACACAGAAAGAGAAGTCGTGAGAGGACACGGACACACACGGAAAACCGGGAAAAAAGGGCAGGAAAAACACAACCTCAGGGAGCCAGGGGGAGAATTAGTGCTGGGAAGTGGCAGGACAGCAGGAAGAAGAGAGAAAAAGGAGCTGGCAAAGCCTCCCTCGCCTTCCCCATCCCGTTATCCCCCGGATTCATGGGCTGGGAGGGATGGAATTTGTTGGAATTCCCAGCTCCCAGCTCCTTAGGGGAGGGCTGGGAATGGCTCCCAGGGACTGGGATCTGACTGGAAAACCACTGGGATGAAGGGGAGGGGCCTTCCCGGCCTTTGGGATTGTTTGGGAAGTTTGTTCTCGTTTTTATCCTGGTTTTTAAGCTGGTGTTATCCCGGTTCGTATCCTGCTGCTGCCCGGTATTCCCAGTGGGAAAAGCTCCATCCAGCTGCAGGGGAGGAAGGTGAAGCCCCCCCTGCCCTCCCCGGGGTGGGGGTCTCCGCTCGGGGCTGGGACCCCGCGATCCCAAAGCCGGAATTCCCGCGGCACTCACTGTCACACGCGTAGGGTTTGTCCCGGTCCTCCAGGATGGCGGCGTCCAGCTTCTTCCGAGCGCCCCCCACGCCTTTTCCCTGCGGGAAAAAACCGGGATTTGGGGAAAATCCAGGATGGGGAGCAGGGCAAGGAGCGAGCCAACAGTGCCCCGCGGTGGGAACGGCCCGGAAACGACCACAAATCCACGGGAATTTGGGGAAAAATGAGGGGTCTGGGCGCAAATCCCGGTTTTCCGGCTCGGCGGGGAAAGCGGGAAATTCCTTTTCCCAGGAATTGCCTCACCTTGGCCTTGCCCTTCCCTCTCCGCTTGGGCGTGTCCTCCTCGTAATCCTCGTCGTCCAAATCGTCCAGGAAATCGTCGGGCTCCAGGATCCGCTGGGAAGGAGCAGAGGGGTTAGAGCAGGGAAAAATACTGGGGAAAAAAGGGGGAAAAATGGGAAAAAATGGGGAAAAGTGGGAAAAAAGGGAGAAAAAAAGGGGAAAAATGGGAAAAAAATGGGAAAAAATGGGAAAAAATATGGGATAAAAATGGGAAAAAAGGGGGAAAAAGGGAAAAAAGGGAAAAAAGGGAAAAAATGGGGAAAAATGGGAAAAAATGGGGAAAAAATGGGGAAAAAATTCAGCTGGATCCGTCCCAGAGGAGGCACTGGAAGGTTTTTGTGGATGGAGAGGGAATTTCGGATGTTTTATCCCAAAAAAAAAGTCATGGAAGGGCCTGGTTTGGTGGGAAAGCGCTTGGAGAAGGAATTAAGCAAAAAGGAAATGATTCTGAATCCCAGGATTCCCAATTCCCGGCGCGGAATTCCCAGTTCCCAGCTGGAATTCCTGGTGCCCATCCCAAATTCCCAGTTGGAATTCCCAGTGCTCGGTATCCCAAATTCCTACTTCCCATCCTGGAATTCCCAATTCCCAGCTGGAATTCCCAGTCCCCAGTATCCCAAATTCCCGGTTTCTGGTATCCCAAATTCCCAGTCCCAGGCTGCAATTCCCACCTGGAATTCCCGGTATCCTGAATTCCCAATTCCCAGCTGGAATTTCTGGTCCCTGGTATCCCAAATTCCCAGTCCCTGATTGGAATATCCTGGAATTCCTGAGTTCCCGGTTCCCATCTGGAATTCTCAGAATCCCGAGTACCTAATTCCCAGAATTCCCAGTATCCCAAATTCCCGGAATTCCCATTATCCCGAGTTCCCAGTTCCCATTGGAATTCCTGTTATCCCAAGTTCCCAATTCCCAGAATTCCCGTTATCCCAAGTTCCTAATTCCCAGTATCCCGAATTCCCAGAACTCCCAGTATCCCGAATTCCTGGAATTCCCAGTATCCCGAATTCCCGGAAATCCCGTTATCCCGAGTTCCCGGAATTCTCTTTATATGAATTTCCCGGTCCCTGTCTGGAATTCCCATTATCCCGAATTCCCAGAATTCCCGTTATGCCGAGCTCCCGGTTCCCGCTGGAATTCCCATTATGCTGAGCTCCCGTTGGAATTCCCATTGGGATTCCCGTTATCCTGACTCCCCGCTGGGATTCCCGTTCTCCCGACTCCCGGAATTCCCGTTATCCCGAGCTCCAGGAATTCCCGCTGGGATTCCCGTTCTGCCGACTCCCGGTTCCTGCTGGAATTCCCGTTATCCCGAGTTCCCTTTGGGATTCCCCTTGGAATTCCCATTATCCCGAGTTCCCGTTGGAATTCCCATTGGGATTCCCGTTCTCCCGACTCCCGGAATTCCCGTTATCCCGAGTTCCCGTTGGGATTCCTGTTCTCCCGACTCCCCATTGGGATTCCCGTTCTCCCGACTCCCGGAATTCCCGCTGGAATTCCCGTTATCCTGACTCCCCGCTGGGATTCCCGTTCTCCCGAGCTCCCGGAATTCCCGCAGGGATTCTCGTTGTTATCCTGACTCCCTGTTGGGATTCCCGCAGGGATTCCCATTCTCCCGACTCCCCACAGGGATTCCCGTTCTCCCGACTCCCGGAATTCCCGTTATCCCGAGCTCCAGGAATTCCCGCTGGGATTCCCGTTCTGCCGACTCCCGGTTCCTGCTGGAATTCCCGTTATCCCGAGTTCCCGTTGGGATTCCTGCTGGGATTCCCGTTCTCCCGACTCCCGGAATTCCCGCTGGAATTCCCGTTATCCCGACTCCCGGAATTCCCGCAGGGATTCCCGTTCTCCCGACTCCCCGTTGGAATTCCCGTTCTCCCGACTCCCGGAATTCCCGCTGGAATTCCCGTTATCCTGACTGCCCGTTGGGATTCCCATTATCCCGAGTTCCCACTGGGATTCCTGCTGGGATTCCCGTTCTCCCGACTCCCCACTGGAATTCCCGTTATCCCGACTCCCCGTTGGGATTCCCGTTCTCCCAACTCCCGGAATTCCTGTTCTCCCGAGCTCCCGGAATTCCTGCTGGGGTTCCCGTTCTCCCGACTCCCCGCAGGGATTCCCATTCTCCCGACTCCCGGAATTCCCATTCTCCTGACTCCCGGAATTCCTGCAGGGATTCCCGTTCTCCCGACTCCCGGAATTCCCGCAGGGATTCCCGTTATCCCGACTCCCAGAATTCCCGCTGGAATTCCCGTTCTCCGGACTCCCGGAATTCCCGTTCTCCCGACTCCCGGAATTCCCGCAGGGATTCCCGTTCTCCGGACTCCCGGGATTCCCGTTCTCCCAACTCCCGGAATTCCTGTTCTCCCGACTCCCGGGATTCCTGTTCTCCTGACTCCCGGAATTCCCGTTCTCCCGACTCCCGGAATTCCCGCAGGAATTCCCGTTCTCCGGACGCGGGCACCTTGCGGGCGCGGCTGTTGGTGACCGGGAACTCGCCCAGGCTGTCGTCGTCCAAGCGCGGGTCGGGCAGGGAGCGCTTCTCCAGAGGGTCCGTCCTGAGCAGCGCCTCCAGGCTGCTCCCGTCCTGCGACAGCAGCCCCTCCTTCTTCAGCGCCTGCTCCGCGTCTGCGACACGGGAAAGTCATGGGAAAAACATGGAAAAACACGGAGAAACACGGAGAAACATGGGGGAAAATAACAGGGAAAATGGGGGAAAGTAACGGGGAAAATGGGGATAAATGGGAGAGCAGCCCCTCCTTCTTCAGCGCCTGCTCCGCGTCTGCGACACGGGAAAATCATGGGAAAAACACGGGAAAGTCATGGGAAAAACACGGAGAAACATGGGGGAAAATAACAGGGAAAATGGGGGAAAGTAATGGGGAAAATGGGGATAAATGGGAGAGCAACCCCTCCTTCTTCAGCGCCTGCTCCGCGTCTGCGACACGGGAAAGTCATGGGAAAAACATGGGAAAGTCATGGGAAAAACACGGAGAAACATGGGGGAAAATAACAGGGAAAATGGGGGAAACCCGGAGAGAAACGGGGAAAAAATAACAGGGAAAATGGGGATAAATGGGAGAGCAGCCCCTCCTCCTTCAGCGCCTGCTCCGCGTCTGCAACACGGGAAAGTCATGGGAAAAACATGGAAAAAACATGGAGAAACATGGGGGAAAATAACAGGGAAAATGGGGGAAACCCGGAGAGAAACGGGGAAAAAATAACAGGGAAAATGGGGATAAATGGGAGAGCAGCCCCTCCTTCTTCAGCGCCTGCTCCGCGTCTGGGACATGGGAAAGTCATGGGAAAAACATGGAGAAACATGGGGAAAAACCCAGAGAAACAAGGGGATAAATGGCGAAAAACACGGAGAAACATGGGGAAAAATAATGGGGAAAATGGGGGAAAACCCAGAGAAACAGGGGGGAATACCCAGAAAAAAATGGGGATAAATGGGAGAGCAGCCCCTCCTCCTTCAGTCTGGGAAAATGGGAAAATAACAGGGAAAATGGGGAAAAACCCAGAGGAAAATGGGGAAAAACCCAGAGAAAAATGGGGAAAAACCCAGAGAAAAATGGAGGAAAAGCCAGAGAAAAATGGGGAAAAACCCAGAGAAAAATGGGGCAAAATGGGAAAACATGGGGAAAAAAAAGGGGGAAAATCAGGGAAAAAATGGTGAAAATATGGGAAAAAAGAGGATGGGTGAGGGATGCCGGCGGATCCAGGTGGAATTCCCAGGAATGCAGCAGGGAACGGGGGAATTACCGGGTTTGATGGAAGGGAAGGAGAGCCGGGGGTCCTCCGGGGGGTGGGCGCGGCGTTTCTTGCGCCAGCGCCGCGCCGGGTACGAGTAGAGCTGCCCCGCTGCCAAACCTGCAGAGAAACCCCAGGAAATCCCCCAAAATCCAGCCAGGGAGGGACAAAACCTCTGGGAATCATCCCAGCGTGTGACAAAATTCCCCAAACTCTCCCGAGGTTGTGGCAGAAGGGCCCAAAGTGAGCCCAGCCCCCTCCCCTGCTGTTTTCCTGGCATTTCCACATCGTTTTCCTGGTGTTTTCCCAGTGTTTTCCCTTTTTTCCCCATTGTTTTCTGCCTCCTGCCATTTCCATGGTGTTTTCCCAGTGTTTCCCTCTTATTCTCCTGGTGTTTCCTCATTATTCTTCCATCACTTCCTCCTTGTTTCCCATAATTTCCCTGTTGTTTCCCATCACTCTCCCATCATTTCCCTGCTGCTCCCCAACTATTTCCCATAATTTCCCTGCTGTTTCCCCACTGTTCTCCCAGTGTTTTCCCGTTGTTTCCCACCATTCCCCTGCTGTTTCCCATCATTTCCCACCATTCTGCCATCGTTTCCCCATTGTTTTCCATCATTTTCCTGCTGCTTCCCCATTGCTCTCCCAGTGTTTCCCCATAGTTTCCCAGCATTCCGCCATCATTTCCTCGTTGTTCTCCATCATTTCCCTGTTGTTTCCCATCATTTCCTCGTTGTTCTCCATCATTTCCCTGTTGTTTCCCATCATTTCCTCGTTGTTCTCCATCATTTCCCTGTTGTTTCCCATCATTTCCTCGTTGTTCTCCATCATTTCCCTGTTGTTTCCCATCATTTCCTCGTTGTTCTCCATCATTTCCCTGTTGTTTCCCATCATTTCCTCGTTGTTCTCCATCATTTCCCTGTTGTTTCCCATCATTTCCTCGTTGTTCTCCATCATTTCCCTGTTGTTTCCCATCATTTCCTCGTTGTTCTCCATCATTTCCCTGTTGTTTCCCATCATTTCCTCGTTGTTCTCCATCATTTCCTCGTTGTTCTCCATCATTTCCTCGTTGTTCTCCATCATTTCCCTGTTGTTTCCCATCATTTCCTCGTTGTTCTCCATCATTTCCCTGCTGTTTCCCATCATTTCCTCGTTGTTCTCCATCATTTCCCTGCTGTTTCCCATCATTTCCTCGTTGTTCTCCATCATTTCCCTGTTGTTTCCCATCATTTCCTCGTTGTTCTCCATCATTTCCCTGTTGTTTCCCATCATTTCCTCGTTGTTCTCCATCATTTCC